GAATCCAAGAGTGGCAGTGGGGCTTCGTGGGACACATGCACCCTCCTGTCCCTCTGTAAATTGGGGACTTCACTGCCCCCTCCTTGGTGGAGTTCACAGAATGATGTGCCTGGTGAGGGAGACACTGAGGACACACAGCTCCTACCCCTCATCTGTCCCTGCCCCACCTGAGGTTCACCTTGGACGTCTGGGGAACAGATTTCAACACGAGAGATGCCGAGAATACAGTTACCCCACCTCCACCCCCAGTGGCCTGGTTGCTGCATGGTGCCCCAGTCACACAAGTGCCACCTAGTAAGCGGGAATCCTCTGCCAGGGATCCAATCATCCAGCAATCCTCTGCTACATAACAGACCTCCTGCTGCAGACAAACCACCCCCAAACTCAGTGGCTTAAAACAAGAGCCACTGTATTTGTTCTTGATTCTCTTGGGGCAGCAACTTGGGCCGGGCTAGGCTGGGCTTGCCGGGCGGTTCTGTGCATCTTGCCTGGGACCTGAGTCCTCTTGGGCTGTCAGGGGGCTGCAGGGTCTGTGATGGCAGTGCTCGCGTGGCTGCTGGGCAGTGCCAGCCCACCAGGCTTCCTGCCCAGGTTCTAAGAGGGCAGGAGAGGCTGCAAGGGCTCTGAGGCCGAGGCTCACAGGTCCTTTCTGCCTCCTTCCGTTGGTCAGAGCAAGGCATGAGGTGAGCTGGGATTTGGGGCCCAGGGAAACAGGCTCCACCTCCTGATGGCAGGGCTGCGGACCGTTTGTAGTCATTTCTAATCTACTATAAGTGACCCAAAGTGACTCGAGTCTTGCTTACATTTCTCAAAATTGGTGAGGGGCTGGTCCCATGGCCGAGTGGTTAAGTTCGCGCGCTCCGCTGCAGGCGGCCCAGTGTTTCGTTGGTTTGAATCCTGGGCATGGACATGGCACTGCTCATCAAACCACACTGAGGCAGCGTCCCACATGCCACAGCTAGAAGGACCTACAATGAAGAATATACAACTATGTACTGGGGGGCTTTGGGGAGAAAAAGGAAGAAAATAAAATCTTAAAAAAAAATTGGTGAGAAAAGCCCCAGCTCTTGGATAGAGCTGCCTTCCTAAACACCCCTTGGCGTCTGCAGAGCTGTCACCAGCCGAGCGTGCCCTCCCGGGTACAGCATGCGTGACCCATGTCCTCATCCGCCGCCCGAGGTTCCTGGACAGCACTTCTTCCCAGCCCCAATCCGTTCTCCTCCTCGTCCTTGCCCCCACCAGCCCCAGCTCCCGCTGTGTGTTCAATTTCTGTCAATATTGCTGTGGACACATCTCATTCTTCTTCCTATTTCTTACCATCACCGTTACTTCCAGGTCTCTTCGTGTCAATCTGGCTAGATCCAAGCTCCTTTTAAGTGATCTACCGAATTCCTTTGTAAGTAGTTTTCACATGTCACCTTCACTCCCAGTTCCCCGACATCGCTGGAGCGCTTGGCTCTTCTCAGTGCTCTGTGACTGTGGAGGAAGCTGCCTCTGGGATGCGTACTCTGCGGTGGGATCATGGGCCGAGGAGGGCTGCCATGCCCTGCCACGGTGGTCCATACAACTGCTCCCCCAAATGGCCCGCGGACGGTGCTGGTGGCGGTGCTCAGGGCCCCTGCTCGCTCAGCTCATTGCTTGTATTTGATGCCAACCGGCGTCTCACTGTTGGCTGCTCTGGTGGTAGAAGTGCAGAGGGCTGGACACACTCCTGCTGGGCGGTCAAGGGCCCCCTGGGGGTGGCCCGTCAGACCCTGTGCCCCAGTGATGTTTGGTCTTTCCTGGTGACCCCAGGATTTCCATCTATTGTCATTAGTAATCATTTGATTACAAAGATTGCAAAGACCTTTTCCCATTCCATCACCCTTTTATAACATTTGTCCGTGCTGTCTTTGTGTTCCTAGGGGTTAGAAGGTTAGAAGTGAAGTATAATGACACAGAGTAAGAGGCGCAGATCTTTTTTTTTTTTTTAAAGATTTTATTTTTTTTCCTTTTTCTCCACAAAGCCCCCCAGTACATAGTTGTATATTCTTCGTTGTGGGTCCTTCCAGTTGTAGCATGTGGGATGCTGCCTCAGCGTGGTTTGATGAGCAGTGCCGTGTCCGCGCCCAGGATCCGAACCAACGAAACACTGGGCCGCCTGCAGCGGAGCGCGCGAACTTAACCACTCAGCCACGGGGCCAGCCCCGATCTTTTTGTTTTTTTGTTTTTGTTTTTTGAGGAAGATTGACCCTGAGCTAACATCCATGCCTATCTTCCTCTACTTTATGTGTGGGACGCCTACCACAGCATGGCTTGCCAAGCAGTGCCATGTCCACACCCGGGATCCGAACTGGCGAACCCCAGGCTGCCAAGAAGCGGAATGTGAGCACTTAAATGCTGTGCCACCGGGCTGGTCCCAAGGCACAGATCTGGTTTTCTGTTTGATGAGTTTTGACTGATGCCTACACTCAGGGACTCAACCTCCAGTCCGGATAGAGTGTTGCTGTCACCATGGTGTCTTTTTCCTTTTTCTTTTTAATTGAGGTATAATTGATCCATGACATTGTATTAGTTTCAGGTGTACAACATAATGATTCAATATTTGTATATATTACAAACTGATCATGACAGTAAGTCAACATCTGTCACCAAATGTAGTTGCAGATTTTTTTTCTAATGATGAGAACTTTTATAATTTACTCCCTTAGCAACTTTCAAATATGCAATACGATATTAACTATAGTCACCATGCTACACATTACATCCCAGGACTTATTTATTCTATAACTAAAAGTTTGTACCTTTTGACCCCCTTCACCTATTTCGTCAAATGGTGTCTTTTGATAAGCAGAAATCCTTAAGTTTGATATAACCAAATGCATCAACTTTCCCTCCATGGGTTGTGCTTGCTGTGTCTTGCTTAAGAAACCTTGCCCTGGGCCAGCCCCAGTGGCTGAGTGGTTAAGTTCAGCGTGTTCTGCTTCAGTGGCCCAGGGTTGGTTGCTGGGTGCAGACCAACACCACTTGTCTGTCAGTGGCCATGCTGTGGTGCAGGCTCACAGATAAAAGAGGAAGATAGGGGCTGGGCCCGTGACCAAGTGGTTAAATTCTGCATTCTCTGCTTTGACGGCCCAGGTCCGTGGGTTCGGATCCTGGGTGTGGACCTACTCCACTCATCAGCCATGCTGTGGAGGCGTCCCACATACAAAATAGAAGAGGATTGGCACAGATATTAGCTCGGGGTGAATCTTCCTCAAGCAAAAAAAGAGGAAGATTGACAACAGATGTTAGTTCAAGGCAAATCTTCCTAGGCAAAATAAATAAATAAATTAATAAAACAAATAAATAAGAGCTTCCTTTAAAAAAAAAAAGAGAGAGAAGGATATGCAGCGGATGTGAGCTCAGGATGAATTTTCCTCAGAAAAAAAAAAGAAAGAAATCTTTCCCTGAACCAAGGTCCCAAGTCTACTGCCTACCTGCTTTAAATCTGTGACCGTTCTAGGGCTACTGTGTATATGGAAAATAAAGAAGAGATCTGCTTTTCTCTTTGTATCATGAGCCAGGTTTTCCAGCACCATTGGTCACATGGTCATGGAGGTGCCTCCTCAACACCCACCTTGACCAGGACTTTCATCTTGGTTCCATTCCCATTTGCTGGTGGCTGCCTTAGGAATCAACATGTGCCCTAGTTCTGGCCCACGAGAAGTGAGGGAAAACCTATGGAAGGTTCCCTCTCCAAAAGAGACACACAAGATAGAGCAGATTGTCTTGCTCTTTTAGGCTCCTCCTGGTGGCCAGGTGGCTGCAGCGGTTCCAGGCATCACATGCAGACATCAGTAGGCAACAAAGAGACTATCCCTCCCTGTCTTTTTATAGTGAGGCAAACCTCCCAGAAACCCCCAGCTGACTTCCCCTTGAGTTTGGCAGGCAGGATCAAGACAGGGAAGCAAGACAACCACGGCTGCTTTAGACCAGGCCTGCATTATGCCTGGAGCTGGAAAGGACAGGCCTGGTGCCCTAGAAGAAGAGATCCTTGGAAAGGAGTAGTAAAGGGCCTTGCGTTGGCCAGGAGGAACGGGAGGGGGCTGGCTTTAAGGTAGGCAACCAGTTGTATCTGCATACTCATCAGACTTGCCGGTATGTTTTTCGTGCTTCATTGCAGGCCCTCCAGCACTCTGTGGGACCTAAGCAGCAGGCTCATTCTTGTCTCTTCAAATCTTAAAGGGAATGCTGCTAATGCTTCCTCCTTACCATGATGTTAACCCTACATTTTTACTAAGTAGCCCTAAGGTTAGGGAGACCCTTTCTATCCCTCTTTCAAAAGAGCTTGTAGAATTCTCCACAGATGGGGCGCTCTACCGTGCTTTCTGCATCTGTCGACGCATCCCTGAAGCCGAGGTCTGCCTCCTTCCACCGTGCGGGAGTGCCGTCAGTGTTCTGATCTTGAACAATTGCTGAAATAAACTCTGCTTGGTTTCCATGTACCCTTTGAATGTAACCCTTTGGATTTGGTTAGCTAATAATTTATTTAGGATTTTTGCATCCAAGTTCATAATTGAAATTGGCCAAATAAAGGCAGCTTTTAAAAAGACAGGTTTGCCTACAATCTCACCAAACAATGGAATAGCTTTTCTCCTGTTTCCTTTAAAGGTCTTGCCCATGTACCTTATAATCCTAGTTATTTTAGCATAAATGCTAAATCATATTCTTTTTTGCTAGACATCCTATCTCTATGCATGCCACATAATATTCAAATAGATCATTTTAATAATTACAATTTCCTTTTTGTGATTACTGTAACTACTTCAGTGAACCATTTAATGCATAGTGGTGTTTTTTTTTTTTTAACTTTCTTCCCGGCATGAATTCCCAGGAGTAGGATAACTGGGTCAAAACATATGAACCTACTTATGGATCCTGATAGATATTTCCAAGTCTTGTCCACAGAGAGATTGATCAGTTTGCAAGTGGCGTCTGCAATATGGGGGAACCAATCTTGCCTTAACTTTTCTGCATTAGGTACTAGCATTTTATTAATCTTTTATTAATCCGATTGTGGCTTTTCCATAACATTTTTTTCGCGTTTGACGCCCTAAGCGCGAGCCTGCCTCACCCGCGTCCCGCCGGCTCGGGGCCTGCGCTGCGGCGCCCCCTGCCGCCCATTGTGACGCCGGCCGCGAGCCGTGTCCCGAGGCGGGCGGCGGCGGGGCAGAGCCCCGGGAGCAATGGCCGAGACGCAGGAGCTGCTGTTGCAGCTGCAGAAGGACAACCGCGACGGACGCCTGCGGAAGCAGGAGCTGGAGGAGCTGGTGCGCGGGCTGGAGGCCGAGAGCGAGAGCCTCACCGGGTGCCTGCAGGAGCTGCGCGAGCGCGAGCGCAGGTGCGCGGGCGCGCGGCTCCACCGGGCGGGCCGGCCGCGGGGGCTCAGTCCTGCGGACGGCGGCACCAGGAGCCTCGCAGAGCATCCAGCCGATTCGTCGGTTGCTCCTCCCCGCCCGGGCCCGCACTTCTGCTCCAGGCCGTCAGGACCGGGGCGATCGACTCAGGACACCCACGAAGGGGAGGCTGCGGCAACCTGATGTGGGCTTCCTCGGCCCTACCCACGGCTGGTCCTTCCCCGGGGCGGCGGGAGCCTGAGCACTGGCTGCCTCCCGCAGTGGCACGGCTTCAGTTTCCCCTCTGCAGCCTGAAGCGGAGGGCCCAGGCGGCGCGGGCCCTGCGAGGGGAGGCACACCAGGCGGCGCGGGAGCGCGCGGAGCGGGCGCGTGGACTGCTGGAGGCTGCGGAGCAGCACAAGCTGGACCTGGTAGGGGCGGGGCCCTGGGTGGGGCGGGGCCTGCGGTGAGGGCTGGGGCGCCTCGGAGAAGCCGGGACTGTCCCCTCGACCCTGTCCGCAGGAGCAGCACAACCGGCAGCTGCAGGAGCAGTGGGAGGAGCTGTCAAGTCAGGTACATTCAGGAGATGGCATCTGTCTCTTGCCTCCCCTGGGAAGTCCCGCTCTGGTCCCCGCCTCCCAGGATATCCCCCGCCCGTAGAAGCCCCGCAAACCCCGTCCTCACAAGCCCTATTCCCAGCTCTTCTATTACGGAGGGGAACAACCGAATAAGCAGCGCGCAGAGCAGCAATTCGGGGCCCAAGTGGTGGCGTTGCAGGTGCTTGGTGGGGCTTCGAGGGCCGGGGCGACGATGGGGGCGGGGGGATGACGACCTTAGGGCGGGGCCCTGAGGGCTGGGGCGGGGCGTCGGGCTGGGCCCTGAAGGCCCGGGCGGGCACAGCGCAGGCGTGGGAGGGGCCACGATGACCGAGGGGAGGTGGTGAGGTGTGGTCCTGAGGGCCGGGGGCCCGGCCCGGAGGCGCGGCAGGGTGCAGGGCGTGCCGGGGTCCTGACATTCCCGGGATCCTCGGGAAGAAACAGCTGGAGCTGGTGGAGGCCAAGTTCGTCCGGCAGGCGGAGGGCCTGCGGCAGGTGCGCGCGGAGCTGAGTGTGAGGGGAAGGGTCGGCTTCGGGAGCGGGTGGGGCCTGGGCGGATGCGGGGGAGGGAGGGGTGTGGTCCCCGAGTCTCATCAGGGCTCCCCAAACCCCAGGGTGCGCAGCGGACAGAGGAGGCCTGGGCGAGCTTCCAGGAGCAGAGCGCGGTCCTGCAGGTGCCGCCCCCTCCACTGCGACCTCCTTCCCGCTTCCGCCAGAGCTGCGGCGCCCCCGCCCCGCCCCGCCCCGCCCAGCCCCAGGAGGTCTCCTCCCCGGGTCTGAGGCCTCGCTGCCCCCTCCAGGAGCTGCAGGGGAAGGTGATGGAGGCGGTGGCTGCGCTGGACGCCTGGCGCGGCGGCCCGGAACTGTAAGGAGTTAGGACTGTTGGGGGTGGATGGCGACCGTGGGGTCGGGGCAGATCGCCATGTCAAGGCCTGTCCCTGCAGGGGCGACTCGCAGCCTCGCCGGGCGCAGGACTGCGCGGGCTCGCTCATGGAGGAGGTGGCCAAGGCCGACTGTGTGAGCGCGGGCCCGGGAGGGGCGGGCTGGGGTAGGGACCCGCCCCCCGCAGGGGCCACGCACACCCCGGGGGCCCGTCATCCGGGGACCCCTATCCCGGGAATCTGCTCTCCCGCGATCCCCTGGATCGCGCCCCCGCCCCTGCGCGGGCTGACGCCGCTCCTTCTCCCCGCAGGAGCAGCGGCTGTTGGGCGGCGCGGGCGCGGCGGGCATCAGGTGAGCCGGGCGGCGGGCGGCGGGCGCTTCGGGCCTGGGTCTGCGCCCCCGTGCAGACCCGGCCACTGCCCGTTTGTCCGTCCGTCCGCCGGTCCGCAGGCTGTGGGCACTGGGCGCGCTGAAGATGCTGCTGCTGCTCCCGCTCGGCTTCCTGGCGCTGCAGCTCCTCTACCTGGTGCTGGCGAACCCCGCCGCCTTCCGCCGGGGGCTCCCGCACCTCGGCCCGGACGCCGCGCTCCGCCGCCTGCGCTACACGCTGTCCCCGCTGCTCGAGCTGCGCGCGCGCGAGCTGCTGCCCGCCTAGGGAGCATCACGCTGGCCGCGGCCGCCTGCACCTCGGTCTCCCGTGTGGTTTCTGGGCGCTCGGGGGGAGGTGGAGGGGAGACGCCCGGGGAGTCCTGTGTTCCGCGGGGCTCAGCGAGCGGCCCTGGCACCTCGGGCTCCGCGGGCGTCGCGCCTTCCAGGCGGACCTCGCGTCCGGAGAGGCGGAGCAGGGCGCGCCCGCGCCCAGGGCTCGCGGCCAGCGCTCCCGGGAGGCCCTTGGCTGCAGCCCCTGCGGCTGCGCCGGCGCCAACTCGGAAGTTGCTCAGAATCGTAGCGGGAAACTTGCTTTTTCCCTGCTCGCGAGCCTGAGCGGAGGGCTGCGCGGGGGTGCCCGGCAGGCCCTCTCCGCGGCGGGCTGTGATCCCCTCGGCCCGGCCGCGGGGCTCCTTGGGTCCAGCGCGGCCCGGCGTCTGGCGGGGCGGCAGTCCCCCGGGTACCCCTGGCGCTGCGGGAGTCCGAGCCGCGCTGGGCGTGCGCGCTCACGACTGCGGGCTTCCCGGGAAATCGTCGCTTCGCTTCTGTGAAACGCTCTGCTTAGTGGAAACGGTGACCTTTGAGTTTGTCTCGTACAAATCCTACTTTTATTATTTACGGTTTTTTGGTAGTGAAGTTGTTCTGTGTATCTCCTTGTGCACACAGACATGGGTTTTTGCTATGGCCTTTAAACAATCGTTTTTTTGTTGATTTGTAGGTGTTCTTTAGTCTTTTTTGGGTTAAATTGTTTATAGAATCCTGCGTATCAGATTTTATCGGATTTAAGAATTGTGCTTTGGGTCCTAAAAAATCCATTCTTGCCTGGAAGTCATAAAGATGTCATACTCTAATTCCTTTCAATTGGTGTAAACATTTTGTTTATCCATTCATTGTAACATTTTGTTGATAAACATTGTGTTTGTTGATTCAGCCTTTGGTGGACATTTGGGTCGTCCCCCCCCGTGTCAGTAAACACTTCTGTGAACACTGGTGCACGAGTGTCTGAGTCCCCGCTTCCGCTTCTCTTGGGGGTATTCCCGGAAGTGGAATTGCTGTACATTGGTCATTCTGTGTTAAATTTGCTGAGGGACTGCCATACCGTTCCCCACAGTGGCTGCACCAAGTTACATTTCCACCAGCAGTACACAAGGGTTCTAATTTCTCCACATCCACTTCACATTTGTTGTTTTCTGTTTTTTGTTTTTGTTTGTTTTTAATAATAGCCATCCTAGTGGGTGTGATTTTTTGCTTTGAATTTTTAGGCATTGCATTCTCTAATTTAATTTTTATAATTTATAATTACAAAGTCAAATCCACAAAACAAGGCGTCTTAGGGAAGTCTAGCTTTTATTCCTGGGCCCTCCACCCTGTTGCCCCCACCCCACTTAGAAGAAGCATTTGGTTTTGTTAATGGACTCCTTCTTCCCTGTAACTAAGTGAAATAGCATCGCAGCCTCTCTCTTAGATGCACAGCGCACTGCCAGGACCTATCTGCCCTCCTTCAGCACCTGGCTCTGCACAGTGTGGTGCGTGGATGTGTCGTTCACTCAGCGGTATGGTGTGGCTGCATTCCCATGCTTTGCTATTACAAACAGTACCTCAGCGAGGACCCTTCTGCGAACCTCCTTTTGTATTTTGTCAGAAAATCTTTGAGACTGATTCCTGAAAGTGAGGTTGTGAGCCAAAGGGTGACCACATACATGATAGTGCTAGATACTGCCCAGGACCCCCTTGGGGTTGGACTGTTTTGCATTCCCACCATCAGTGGGTTTGAGGGTCCTTTTCCCCACAGCCTCGCCCATGGTGCATATTGTCACCCTGGGATTTTTGTCAGTCTGATGGGTGAGAAATGGCACTTCCATAAAACTCTAATTTTCATTTCTCTTACCATCAAGGTTGAGCATAATTTTTAAAGGCCAGTGGCCTTTCTTTTTCTATGAACTATTCATATCATTTGCTCATCTTAAAAATATAGAACTTGGGGCTGGCCCCTGTGGCCGAGTGGTTAAGTTCGTGTGCTCCGCGTCAGTGGCCCCCAGGGTTTCACTGGTTCAGATCCTGGGCGTGGACATGACACCGCTCGTCAGGCCACGCTGAGGCGGCGTCCCACATCCCACAACTAGAAGGACCTGCAACTAGAATATACAACTATGTACTGGGGGGATTTGGGGAGAAAAAGCAGAAAAAAAAGACTGACAACAGTTGTTAGCTCAGGTGCCAATATTTAAAAAATAAAAAATAAATAAAAATATAGAACTGTAGGGTTTTCCCCTCCCTCAGTTTTTCACAGCTCTCTTACAGTAGGCATGTTAACTGAGAGCTGTTGTGTTTCCCAGCTTATCTTTCACTTTTGTTCACAGTGTTCCTTTGCCATCCATACATTGTTTTGGTAACAGTTTACTTCCTTTTCTTGATTCTGGATTTTGGTGGGAAGTTTGCCCCTTCCAGTTTGTCACGGAAGCTTGCCACGTCCTCCAACACTCACATGGTTTCTTAGTCCACATTTCAACCTCTGGCCTGAGACTTATTAGGGTTTACAATGTGATGATCTTTTGCATTTCCATATAAATTTTAGACTTGGCTTGTCTGTAAAAAAAAGTCCATAAAAAAAAGTCTGGGATTTCGATTGGAATTACACTGAATTTAGAGATCCATTTGCAGAGAATTAAGTCTCCAATCCTCAAACATGATGTCTCTCTCCGTGTTTCATTTCTCTCAGCCGTGTTTTGCGTTTTTTTTTTTTTTTTAAGATTTTATTTTTCCTTTTTCTCCCCAAAGCCCCCCGGTACATAGTTGTATATTCTTTGTTGTGGGTCCTTCTAGTTGTGGCATGTGGGACGCTGCCTCAGCGTGGTTTGATGAGCAGTGCCATCTCCGCTCCCAGGATTTGAACCAACGAAACACTGGGCCGCCTGCAGCGGAGTGCGTGAACTTAACCACTCAGCCACGGGGCCAGCCCCTGTTTTGTGTTTTTTAGTTAAGAGGTCTTGCACATCTTTACATTTATCCTTGGGTATTTTATATTTTTGGATGCTATTATAAATGGTATAGATTTTTAAAAAATTTTCTTTTCCAACTGTTCATTGCTAGCATATAGAAACAATTGAACTTTTGTTTATTGACCTTATATACTGCGATATGGCTGCACTGCCTTATTAGTTCTTTGAACTTTTCTGTAGCTTCCTCAGGATTTTATCAACCATTTTATTGTCTGTGAAGCAGGACCATTCCTCTTCTTCCTTTCCGGTCTATCTCCCGCTGGCCTCACTGCACTGGCCAGCAGCCCAGCACAAAGCTGATTAGAAGTGGCCACAATGGACAACCTTTCCTTGCTCCCGATCTTAGGAAGGTCCCCTTTGGCATTTCATCATTAGGATGTTAACTGTGACTTTTCTTAGATGACCTTTATCATATTGAGGAAGTTTCCTCCTATTTCTAGTTTGCTGAAGTTTTTGATGACTGGGTGTTGACTTCCGTCCAGGGCTTCTTCTGGACCTGTTGAAAGGATCCTGTGGTTTTCCTTCTTTAGTCTGTTGATGTGAATTATGCTGGCTGCTTCTTGGATGTCAGCCAGCCTTGCATCACTGGGATAACACCCACTCAGTCAGGATGGTCCTTTTTATACATCGTGTTGAATTTACTAATATTTTGTTAAACATTTTTGTATCTATGTTCATAAGAGGGATATTGCTCTATAATTTTATCTTTTTGGAATGCCTTTGTCTTGTTTTAATATCAGGGCTATGCTGCCCTTATAAAAATGAATTGGGAAGTGTTCTCTATTTTCTGAAAGAGTGCTTGTAACATTGGCATTATTTCTTCCTTAAATGTTTAGACTCATCTTGGCTTTATGATGAAAAAAATTACACCTTAATAATTTTTTTGTTTAACACAGAAAGGTACCTGAGTCGTCAGTGTACAGCTCACTGGATTTTTGCAAAGGGAACACCTCTGTAGAATAAGAAACAGAATGTTAGCACACCACCCTCGTCTCTCCTCCTTCACGAGGAGCTACGGTGCTGACTTCCGATACCATCAGATGATTGTGCCTGTTTCTGAACTTCACATGGAGTCATACAGTGCGTATCTTTGTGTGTCTGGCTCCTTTTGCTAACATTGTTGAGTAGTCCGTGTTGCCTGTTGAGGTTGTTCATTTATTTCCATCATTGCATTGTATTCTACTGGAGGAATAGCCACGATTATCTCTTGTCGAAGGAAATTTTGGTCATTTAGAGTTTTTTATTGTTATGAACAGCGCACCTCAGAACATTCCCATTGCTCTGGTTTGGTGTCCAGATGTTCGTACTTCTGTTGGGTACACATCCAGGAGTGGAATCACTGGCTCATCGAGATGCTCAGCTGTAGAGGACACTTCGTTTTCCAAAGTGGTTGTACCAATTTATACCCCCTCCAGCAGCTTCGGAGAGTTCCCGTTGCTCCACGTGCTTCCGACACTTGATATTGTCTATCTTTCTATTGGACATGCAGGTGGGTGAGGAGCCATCACAGTGTGGTTGTAGTTTGCATTTCCCTGATGACTGATGAAGTCAAACACCTTTTATTACGGTTATTGGCTATTTGGATGATCTCTTTTGTGAAATGCCTGTCCAGGTCTTTTGTCCATTTTTCTGTTGTGTCTTACTGGTTTTAGTAATTTTTTATGTACTCTGGATAAAAGTCCTTTCAACAGGTATATGTGTATTGCAAATGTCTTCCCAGGTCTGTGGCATGCCTTTTCATAAGAGTCCAAATTAAATTATTTTTTCCCTTTATGATTAGTGCTTTTTTGGTTCTGTTTAAGAAATCTTGAGGCTCACATGTGAGGGGATGGACTATAATTAGTTTTTGGGTGGTGAACATGATGTAAACTACACAGAATTCGAAATATATTATGATGTACATCCAAAAGCTTAAAAAAAAAAAAAAAAGAAATCTTGAGGCTGGCCCAGTGGCACAGCAGTTAAGTTTGCACGTTCCACTTCTCGGTGGCCCGGGGTTTGCCGGTTCGGATCCCAGGTGCGGACATGGCACTGCTTGGCACGCCATGCTGTGGTAGGCATCCCACATATAAAGTAGAGGAAGATGGGCACGGATGTTAGCTCAGGGCCAGTCTTCCTCAGCAAAAAGAGGAGGACTGGTGGCAGATGTTAGCTCAGGGCTCATCTTCCTCAAAAAAAACAAAAATCTTTGTGTGTTCTTGAGGTCATCAAGGAATTCTATTCTCTCCTAAAAGCCTTTAAAGTTTACCTTTAACATACAGCCCTACAATCCACCTGGAATTGATTTTGAGGTCTGATATGAGGTAGGCAGTCAAGATTAAATTTTTTTCTTATACCAATATCCAGTTGACGCAACACCATTATTGAAAAGACCATCTTTCCTCTGCTGTCCTGCAGGGTGGCTGTATGTATGGGAGTATGTCCCTGCTGTCCATCTCTGCCATTGTTTATTCAATTTTCTTGCACGGGGTAAACCACATTGTCTGAACTACTGTAGCTTAAGGGTAAGTCTTTTTTTTTCTTTAAAGATTTTGTTTTTTTCCTTTTTCTCCCAAAGCCCCCTGGTACATAGTTGTGTATTTTTAGTTGTGGGTCCTTCTAGTTGTTGCGTGTGGGATGCCGCCTCAGCATGGCTTGATGAGCGGTGCCATGTCCGCGCCCAGGATTTGAACTGGTGAAACCCTGGGCTGCCGAAGCAGAATGCGTGAACTTAACCACTGGGCCACAGGGCCGGTCCCATAAGGGTAAGTCTTGATACCTAGGTTTGTTGGTCTTCAAGCTCGAAATAGCTACGTTTTTGACCTCTGCATTCCCATATAAATTTTAGACTTACCAATTTCCACTAAAAAGCTTTCTGAGATTTGTTTTTTGAGGCAGATGAGCCCTGAGCTATCATCTGCCGCCAATCCTCCTCTTTTTGCTGAGGAATACTGGCCCTGAGCTAACATCCGTGCCCATCTTCCTATACTTTATATGTGGGACACCTGCCACAGC